CCCCCCCGCACATATAAAGATGACACGAGGAGTTGACGTGTCAAGGCAGAAAGAGAGGTGGGGGAACTGAGGGGCGAATTCTTCTGCGCAGGCGCCGTCCGGGTCTTATTGGCTGAGCTGCGATTGGGGGTCGGGAGAGAGCGGCGCAGCTGAAAAAGGGAGGAGGGCGGGACTCCAAAGGTTGGAGGGGGTGGAGCTCCGGTGCGGCCTGAAGCCCCGCCCTGAAGCGCTGACGTTGACCGCCAAGCGCGCATGCGCGCTAGCCCGCACGGCTCTCTCGCGACTCCATCTCTGGCGGTGGCGGCGTCTCCGTTCCCTCAGCCGTGGCCGGGTGGGGGAGGGGCCCGACCTGAAGGGGCAGCGGCGGCAGGTGAGTGACCCGCCCCCGGCCACGCCCCTTGCGCGTGGCAGCTGAGGGGGCTGTCGCCCCGATCGGGCCTGGGGGGCGGGGGTTGCCTTGGAGACGTCAGTGAGACGAAGTCCCCCCTCCCTCTTGAGATGCGGTTAGACCCCTCTTGCCCGCCCGGCCTACCTGGCAGTGTTGTTGTGGAAATGACGTCACAAGGGAACGGTGGGGGCCTCGCAGCGCCTGTGATCTCAAAAGGATTGTGTGAAGAAAGAGAGGAAGGGGTCGTACCTGCCCCCCCCCGTCTGCAGCTCCGGGAAAAGTGCAATATAAATCTTACAAATAAAAATAATGATGCAGGGTAGGTCAAAAATAATGATCAAAATAATGACCCATTGCTCTACTAGAGCAGGGGTGTCCAGTCTTGGCAACTTTTAAGATTTGTGGACTGCAATTCCCAGAATCCCCCAGTTTTGATACAATATTTCAATACAACGATGCTGTATTTATACCACGCACTTAGATGGTTACTATTTTATTAGGTGCCCTTTAGAATGTTAAAAGTAGAGAAGAAGAAGAAAAAAGTGGATGTTCTGCCCATATTAATTACAGTTTTAGAAATTAACATTATAATAAGCCTTTTCATTATTTGACTTTTCAAACGGGTTAGTCTCAGAATCCCTTTGCATTCTTCAAAATGGCTAAGGACCCCAAAGAGCTGTGGTTTAGGTGGGTTAAAGAGCTTTGGTTTAGGTTTAGGGTTATAGTTAATGATATTTACTGTATTAGAAATTAAAATGAAGACATCTTTAAATTATTTTATTTGACTTTGCAGACCCACAGAGTCCCAAGGACCCCCACTTGGTCCCCAAAGCACACTTTAATAATTGCAGCTCTAGAGTACTATAATGTTTATTAACCTTGACAACTTTAAAATACATAGCTTCAGCTGCCAGAATTCCCTAGCAAAGTCCACACATCTTCACGCATGCTGGCCTGGGAAATCTGGAACTTGAAATCCTCCTTTAAACATGCAGATTAGAGAATTTTAGGAGCTGAAGTCCTCACATCTTCAAGTTACTGAAATTTAAAAATACTGCAGTCTTAATGTTCAGAGGGGGGAGGGAAGGGAATATTTATTTATTCAACTTATAAAGCCATCCATCTCAATCAAGGACTCTGGCTGGCTTACAGTTCAAAAAATATATAATTAAAACAATAAAAACATTTTAAAGCAATAAAAAGCATTAAAAAAACTAAATAAAAATATATTCTAAATGAGACCAAAATCAAGCAATTTGAGCAATCTGGGTTAAAAACTAAGCTAGCTTTTGTACCTTTTTTATTTCTTTCTACCCTATGCTCTGATTTGGGGAATAATATCTGGCTGATATCGACTCTTGGTGAACTCAGAACATTGTGGGTTCTTTTGGAATATTTTGATTGGCTCCAATAACTAAATTAGCAATTTATAGAATTTTCCCCCCAATGGTCAGACATGGTTACAGAGGCTTTTTGTTAGCAATGCTTTTGCTATGGTAAAAATCTAATTGGAATAATTTTAATAAGCATAATGAATGGTATCTTATCAGTAGCGGTAATAGTCACCTTGCTAATCAGGCGGATGGAGTGTGACATACATGGTGTAGTTCAGCATTCTTTATCTGACATTCTTCAGATATTTGTAGATTACAACATCTGTGTCATCTCCAGTAAGCACGACCATTGGATGTGCTTATAGCTAGGAATGAAAGGAATTGTAGCTCAAATACAGGTGCATGAAGATTGATATAAATCAGTACGGATCTATGGACTTGATGTTGCAGAGAAGTAATGTACCGTATTATGTGGACGTAAATGATAAAAATTTCATAATTATGACAATGGTCTTGAGTGATAGAGGAACAGAAGATATGCTGTTGATCTGGTGTTGTATGGTGTTGAGCAAGGGTCTTCAGACCTGGCCCTTTTATGACTTGTGGACTTCAACTCCCAGAATTCCTCAGCCAGGTACGTGTGCCTGGCTGAGAAATTCTGGGAGTTGAAGTCCTCAAGTCATAAAAGGGCCAAGTTTGGTGTTGAGGCTCTTTAAATAAAGCAGCATATATCTGTTTATGGATTTAAAATTAAGTTTATACAAAGGTGAGTTTATACTGCTTTAAGATCCCTCCCCACTTTTCTAAAGAATTGATGAGAGCCAGTTTGGTCTAGTGGTTAAGGCACCAGGTTGTGAGTTCAAGTCCTACCTTAGCTATGAAAGCCAGCTTGGGTGACTTTGGGCCAGTCCCTCTCCCTCAACCCAACACACCTTGTTGGTGGTCTTTGTGAAGAAAATAGGATGGAGAAGTTGTGTTGCATATGGTCACCTTGAGTTATTTGTAAAAATAATAAAGGCGAGATATAAATTAACCAAATTATGTGTCATATGTGGCGCCTACATAGTTAGGTTTTCTCCATGGTGATCTGTCCCCAAGTTGGTCCTTTAGGTCTTCCAACAGTGCCCCTTGCTGCTGGTCATTCCCAGAGCCTTCTCTGGAGAACTGGGTCTTTGCATAAGATGTCCAAAGTAGGATAAATTGAGCGTTGTCATTTGTGTTTTGAATGAAAACTTGGGATTGATTTGTTCAGCAATCGTTGGTTTGTTTTCTTGGTTATTGCCTAGGATAGCATAAGAGAAGCTCAAAAAGCTACAATGTACTTACTGTATGGAGATACTGTTAATAATGGCAATTTCGGATGACAGATGAAAATGTAACAACGATTGAAAATAAGCTATTCAGCCTGCCTCAGAGGGTTTCTGTTTGTTACTCTAAACAGACACCTTAAAAGTCAGGTTTTAGGTACACACTGAAATATATGAATACTCCAGAAGGATATTCCAGATTTGTTAGCCATATTCCCTGTGCCCATGCCTCAAATCAGCTGGTGAGAGAACCAGAAACAGAATATTCACAATGTGTATTAATGCAAGCTGTAGAAACAATATTGAATTGAAGCCTTCAGTGGAGTTTTTTCCGGTCACTCAGCTACATAGAAAACAATAATTAGGTGTGCCTGCATTATTTAGACACAACTGGGTGTTTTTTCCTTAAAATCTTTTGAGCTTCTAACATATCAGTAAGTATTTGAATAAGTACTTTAAAATGTAAGCTATTTTTAACAAAAGCCCTTGCAAATTCTACAGATATATTAAAACATAGAATAATAGGATTGGAAGGGATTTTGAAAGGACTAATGGCTGTCCAGTCTCTTCTTGAAAACCTCCAGCGATGGAGCACCCACAACTTTTGGAGGCAAGCTGTTCCACTGGTTTATTGTTCTCACCGGCAGGAAATTTCTCCTTAGTTCCACATTGAATCTGTCTTTTATGATCTTCTTGTCTTGCCCTCTGGTGCTTGGGAGATACTTTTACTTACTTTTTTTTTTAATTTGTTAAATTTATTTGCCACCTATCTTGCTGTGGGGCTACTCTAGGCAGCTTAAACAATAAAAAGAAATGAAAAGAGTGTGAACAAAAGAGAAGTAAAATAATAGAACAATAAAATAAACCATAAAAAGAACACAAGAATACGTACTTGTACTTATTTTGTTATATGTTTATACTTATTTATAGTAGATAGATGGTGTCAACTGTGACATTAGTAACATCCAAAAGCATGAAAAGTATGTTAACTTCGTTCAGAAATAACTGTTTAAATGAGATAGCTAACTGTGTAACTATGTTTATAAAATTCATTATAAGAATTCTCAGAAATACGTTGAATGGAAGAACATGCTAGTAATTTAAAAAAATATATTGTACATAAAACAAGCTGTGGGCTGGTTCATGTGGATTACATATTTGTGGCTTATTAAATTACATCTAAGTTGATGCAATATTTTCAATTATAAATTATAGCTTACAAATGTCAATAGTTAATATTTTATGCTAAACCCAAAGCAAAGTAAGCGCAGTTGTGTCTTAACCTGATACAGAAACCAAGTCGGTGAATCTTCCAGTCTTTGTTTATTTTGAGTCAGAGAGGTGGGGAGCTTGTATTAGCTTCCTTGTTTTTGAAAGTGCCCTTTACTTGTAAATAATGTTGTTATAAATAATCATGATTTTCTCTCTTTTTTTTACTGTCCTCTTATTATATAAGTCATCTGGAATTGGGTGGCCTCTAAATTCAATGAATTATATAAATACTCTTAAATTATCTAGGTCATGGTTGTCAAATTTAACAAACTGCATCTACTTCCTCCTTGTAAAAAGAAATGCTATTTTTATTTTAGTTTTAGTGGCTTACAATAGTCTCTGCTTGGGGGGAAGGCGTATGTTCCTCGTTGAGAACTGCAGACTCCACTATTTATGCATTGGAAACATTTATGGACTGAGCTTGTAGCAACTTGTTCATACATTTTGCAGAATTGTTACTTTGGACTACAATCTTAATTACATGAAGAATCGAGTGTATGCTGTTTGTGTTACTGCAAAGCAAAACTTTTGTTTTCTCATTCTTTGTTTGAATTTGTAAGTAGTAAACAGAAGAAGCCACAGTTTGCCCAGTTTCAACCAGTTGAAGAAGTTCATTTTGAAAAAAAGAAGTTTTCATGTTTTCCAAGAAATGTTAATATTTTAATGAGAGTTTCATATTTATGAAAACATTTTCTCCCATAATAGATTATCTTCTACAAATTAGCTATGATGTACAATTTTAGGAGAGAAACAAGTAAGTTAACTCATACGTAATATACATTGAAGACGCATGTTAAAGAATGCCCTGCATGAATTTTCCTCAGAACCCTTTACAAAATGGGCAAGTTCCATGGCAAATGCATAAGAGCTCTGTAGTATGCAAAGAGTTTATTCATGGCAGAAGAATTGCAGGCTGCTGAGTTAAATGGATTTGGGGCCTGAACAGAATTATTGAATCAGAACAAAAGAGCCCTATGGAGCAGATAAAAAGAACTCAAGATTCGGTTCCATGCAATGGCTAGCTATTTAGAAGCTGCCTTTCTTAAGGATCTAAGAATAACATACTATTGTCTTCTCTTTCTCTCACTCATGTGCCTATTTGGATGTTACTCCAGTATTGCTGAAGACACCTAATTGAGAAATAACAAGTAACATTTACTTTTTGTGGAGTAATGAATTTTGGAATTTAAAATGTGGGCCTTGATATGTCCTAGAAGTGACAAGTTGCCAAATTCCTCTGATCAATAAAGCAGTTTCAATCTAAAGTGCAATTGGAAACTACAGCAGGAAATATATTCCCCAAACTGGATCTGAAAATGTGTGAAAACAGAATGTTTGGTTTTTTTCAGGCTGCAGTTATTAACGTATGGACATCAGTAAATCCCCACCTGAACTAAGCTGAACATTTTCCTTAGACACTGTTTTTTTTAAAAAAATATATCATTAACTTCATTATCCAGCGAACTTAGATGTCAAGAAGCACATATTAAAGAATGATAGTTATGTTGGTTCATGAGGAGGAAAATAATCCAAAATGCAGTAAATATTAGGACTAACCCAAGCAGTGCAAAGGAGCCTGGTTCTCTTGAACAGTTGAGAAGTTACCAGAGCAGGGAAGAGGAGAAAGCAAACAAATCCAATATTTAGGGAAGGTATTTTAGCCTCAATTAGTCTATATACCATATAGTGTAAATCAGTGTTTTTCAAACTTGGTAACTTGAAGATGTGTGGACTTCAACTCCCAGAACATCTGGCTAAGGCATTCTGGGAGTTGAAGTCTATACATCTTAAAAGTTGCCAAGTTTGAAAAACACTCATGTAAATTTTGGGAGTTAAAATTTGCTGAGGTTGAGAAACATTGTCTTAGAGCAGTTGAATCCACATCTTAGTTGTGGAATTTATTTCCTTTTTTATCTACCTTTTCCAGCGAATATATTGATACACTATTAAGACAAATAGAATATACTCTCCCTCACCGGAACTGAATCGGCAGTCAGTGATCTCACTGCCAAGTAATAAACTTGTCATTTAAGAATTGGCTTTCCCTGATGGCTGTGATTTGAAAATCTCTTTCCATGAACTTTTACCAGTCAGGTACCCTCCAGACCATCTGAACTACAAGTTGTCTGCAGATGCTGGGAATTGCATCCAAACATGTCCTGAGAGCATTGGATTAAATATCTTTTACTTCTGCCCTTGGGACTGTATGATTAACATTAATCTAGATCTTTGCTCTTGCTTGTATTAGGTGCACGTGTCTGATCTGTTAGTCCAGTGGGGAAAATGTATGTTGTCCCTACTGCCAACTCTTGGGTTAGTTGAGGACGGTCAGGCAGTCGTCACGATTTTGATGTATTTGTATGTGGAAAAAAACCACGCTCCTCATCCTGAGCCTGAACTCTGGAATCTCTTGGAACATTGTGTAGGGAATACACGTGGTTGCAAACATCTGATTACTATTCCTTTCCCGCTGTGATGCAAGGCTATAAGCTATTGCAGTTAAGATCTCACTGAAAGCTGGCTGGAGGTGAGTTGCTCTCCAGAGACTTTTTGCTTCTGCCTCTTACCTGTAAGGGAATCCTTGGATGGCAGCTCCAGCTGTTCATTCCAATCCCATGTAATTTCTATTTGCTTAATGTTTACTGTGAGTAAAATGCAGAGTTTTCTATAAATTGGGCTAGTTTTTTTCTGGAGTGAAGTGCTTCATGGTTAGACTGTACTTTTAATTACATTCAGTAATGTCAGGAAATGTTTTAAAGGGAATTTTCCTGATCTGTTCATTTGGGCTCAGATTCAGCATGTGTGGATTAGGTGCACTTTTTGTTTTTTTATTTAGCTATTCCATGTACATCTGTCCTGTTTATTAGTGTATTTCCTCAGGACAGTCTTGAAAGAAAAAAAAATGAATCCCAATTTATGACATCTGTGATTCAGTGGCATGTAGCGCTAGTGCTTAAAACGGAGATCTTTTAACTACCTCTTTTCTCAGGATTGCTCCCTCCATAATCTGATCCACAGACTTCTTCTGAGACCACCAGGAAAAGACCTTAATGTGTCAGGTTCATCTAGAAAATGGGGCTTTTTAATGCTTGAGGGAAAGTGTTTCACTCACGTCCATGCAGTTTGTCTAGTGACTTTAAAAAAAAGAAAGATTTTATAGTATCTAAAAATAGACATCGCCTTGTTAAGAATGTGGTGCTAGAAAGCAATGTAAAGTTGTAGAAATATTGTCTTGAAAAATAGTACTATATCAGTCTTCTGAAGCTGCTGCCCTCTAGAAGTGTAAACTCCACGTGTCCCAAATGTTAGGAGGGGGCCAGGTTGAAGAAGGGGGTTCTATGTGCACAACACTTTTTGTACTGGTTAGGATTCCATTGTTACTGTGACAGCATGCCAGGCTTATAATTAGTCACTTGTCTGATCACTTTGGCAAATCAGTTTCCTTCTATCAAATAGGTAGGACCACAGATGATTAACATAAGTACCACTGAGTATTTAAGCTAGGAACACTATTTGTGGGTCCTTGACCTAAAGGAGTCTTCAGTTATAAGCAGACCTTACTAAGCTTACGACCTGAGTTTTACCTTTGCTGCCTTTTGAGAGACAAATTGCTGCCACCACCTGTTCTTGTAGAAGTGGTTAGGTGGTCTCACAGAGTTTTTTTTTTTCTTTCTCTTTCCTCATGTAGTGAATTGGATCTGGGAATGCCGTACTTTTAAGAACATCTTCCATGGACAAGAGAACATCTTATAGCTTCCTGTGCTGGATGGGATCTAGTGGCCTTCGTAGGATTTTTGCCACAAGTTTCACAAGAGAACTAGAGTTGGCTCTTGTGCCGTGGGGACAAGGGCTCTAGTTTTGCAAGGCGCTAGTTTTTCCTCCAATGCAGAACAAGAGAAGGAGCACGCCTCATTCTTGCAAAGAGACGTTTTGTACTTCCGAAAACTCCAACAAGACTTGCCTTTCCAGCATTTGGAGAGCTGTTTCTGGGCACGGTTCTCCCTGCCCTTCCAGTGTCTTGTGCAGGGACCTGTTGTGTAACCATCTCACCCCTAGCCAATCTTCCCAGTTTCAGTTTGGGCTGTGGCCTCTTTCCAGAGTAGATCATGGGGGTTCTTGGCCACCCGGAGCCCACTGGAGGAAGGGTGTGAATTCTGAAATGGCCCCTGTGATAGGCCAGAGACCTGCTGCACATTCAAGGCTGTTGTTGGTTGTCAGGGGAAAGGACTGATTGACTGAGGAACTGACTGACTGCCCAGGGCAGCTTCTTTCTGCCTCTCAGGAATTTGCAGGGCGCTGGCCTAGTGTGGCCAGGCCTGCCTTCTCCCCTCCATCATGTTTCTACTGCTGCCCTTTGACAGTCTGGTAGTTAGCCTGCTGGGCATTTCCCTGACGGTCCTCTTCACTCTGCTTTTGGTCTTCATCATTGTGCCAGCCATCTTTGGAGTCTCCTTTGGCATCCGCCGTCTCTACATGAAAACTCTTCTGCGGATCTTCCAGGTGAGTTCACCTCCTTAGCATTCCTGGGGGTTGGGGAGGAAGAGTGCAACCTGAGACTGGGTTGTGCCCGCCAGCAGCACCAAACGATGAATCAGAGCTCTTTCAACACAGGTCTTGTATAGTGGATTAGAAAACAGGGAGTTTCAGGCAAGTCCAGCTCTCTCATTGGTTGTCAGCATCACTGGAACCTGTGACGTAAGGACAAATGAAGATGTCCCTGGCAAACAGATGCAGGGTGTTGCTTAACAATTAAGTTTCCACTGTGTAGGGATTGCTTTCAGGTCAAAATGGAATAGTAGCCCAGCAGCAGCAGCAGCTCTTGTACAGTTCAAATATGACTCTTATGTAGACCAAACAGGAAGACGGTGGGCCTTCCTAATGCTGAGCAGGCCTAAGCTGGGCCTTGTAACACCATATTCTCCCCCCCCCCATCATATTTCAAGGATGGAAGAGGGAGAAAAGGAGCAAGCTATACATCATGTTGAGGGTCACCTTGTGGCAGTTGCAGGAAAGAACCCTCTTTTTTCCATTTTTCACTTTCTTGAGGGCTGCCTCACCTGAGCACTCAATGCGCACCCTGGGACGCTGTACATCCGTTATACCACTGTTCATTAGTTCTACCAAAGCCTTGGCTGGTGCAGCCACACAAATAACTATACCTAGGGAACCAGTCACTGGGAAATCACATACCCTCTTTTCTTTCTTATTCCTCCAAAACCTTCATTTCAACCAGAATCAGGATACACAGGACATAATATTTCTTACTTCAGTTTTCCCAGTGTTGTTTTTGAAATCATTTAAAATCAAACCATGGCACTGCGTAATAGATCATGTCGAAAGCAGGTCCTGTTAACGGATTAAAAGTAATAAACTATGGAAAAATAAAAACAGGAAATAAAGATACCATTATTAAAAGCTGGATAGCAGAGTGCATTTAGAGATTTTCTTTGGTTTCCTTTGAAAGGAAGTTGGTGACAGCAATGTCTTACTCATCTTTTAGAAGAACACTAGGATATGGAATAGCAGCATTTCTGGGTCAGTATTTCCATGCACAACAACCTCCACAACCCTTTCACAGCCTAGCCCACCCTACTTCAGATTTTGTCAGCGTGTTGTGATTGTTTGACCAAGTACAAATTGAACCCAGTTCTCCATTTTAATGCCCACCTTTTTACATACAGAGATAGTTTAGGAACCTGTCCTTTTTGTTTGTACTACCACTCCAAATAATGTGGTGCTGTTAGGAAACTTAGCAACCTTACTCCTCACCTCTATAATTTACAAACAAATAAGAAAGTATCTTACAGCTGATGTTTTGGAACTCCCCGCTTTCCTGTTTGTAACCCTCCATCATAGGAACTTTCATTTTCTGTTGCTCTTTCCATTATTCCACCATTTCAATCCATAACTCTCAGCAGGTAGGTGAAAGATGAGATGGCTGCAGAAGGCCGACCCACACTTCATCCTGGTAGCCAGTGGAATATTCCAGCCTGAGGGTCTTCAGCCAGTCCGTTGTCTATAACCCCGAGGGAGTGTTGATTTCCTTCCAGTGATTTTCACAGAGCTTTAGGTTCAGTGGGAACTGTTTTGGGAAAAGAGTCGGAACCCTCGCAAATACTTTTTGCCCAATTGTCAGGTGAATGAATGTATGTAGGTAGTTTTTTGAATGAGGGGCTTCTGACACTCCTCTGATGATCAGATCTGACCGTATTCCATGCTAAGAAAAGCAAACAAAAATACAAAAAATTAATACCGCTTTAAAAGTCCAGCTTTGGCGATTGTTATTTAACTTGTCCAGCTTAACCACGTCTTACTTCTTAGCTTCCTGTAGTAGGTGTCCCTTTGCATAGTTTGTACAGCACAACCATGCTGTTTTGCATAATGTATTTTGTAGAACATGGGTGAAAAGGCTACACTTGGGATGGAAAATCTTTCATAATCATCTCTCTAGCTACCGTTCAAGCATTACTTGCATTCTTTTTTCCTATCCCAACTTGTTTTTCCTTCTTTTCAACATGAGTCTGTCAAGAAATTGGATTCTGCACTTTTTTTGTTAGGTATCTACTTCGTATTTCCTCCAGGAGCTCAAGGCATCATTCCTTGCTATGTGTATTAATAACAGGATAGACCAGGGGTCTTCAAACCTGGCCCTTTTATGACTTGTGGACTTCAACTCCCAGAATTCCTGAGCCAGGCACGCTGCTCTGTTCACTGTAATTTGACTGCAAATTGCTGAGGGTTCAATTGGCAAGTTTCTTCCCACAGAGCATAGGCAGGGCTGTTTTTACTCAAAACTGCTGGATTTGACCTTAATCCTGTCCAGCATTTTCCAAAATCAGTAGCCGCCTAGTGGAAGCTGGTGAAGCAGGACAGGAAATCAGCACGTCTCCGCTCTCCTTTTTGGACCTGATGATGTGAGATGAACTGCTGATCAGGCATTGCATTAGTTGCCCGCCTCCGATCTTGCCCTTAAACTTGTCACTCCTTCTGAAACCATCTGCACCCCGGTTGAAAGAAATAGATTTCACGTCCGGGTCTGAAGGATCTCACTCCTTCCTTTCTTTGTGTCTTACAGTGGGCAACGTTAAGAATTGAGCGGAGCGCCAAAGAGAAGAACCACCCTGTCTATAAGCCCTGTGTCAACGGTAAGAGGGAGAGGTGCCTTTTCTTAGCGCGGTGGCGGGGGGAATGTCAGGCCCTGTTTCTCCTGCTGTTTGACTGGAAGGTGTGTGTCTGTTGCAGGGATCATTGCCAAAGAGCCCACTTCGTTGGAAGAGGAGATGAAGGAGAACCGGAAGAGCTCCAGCAGCAAGACCCTGGACGCCCCTGAGTTTGAGCTCTCCGACATCTTTTACTTCAGCCGCAAAGGTGTGGAGAGCATTATGGACGATGAGGTGACCAAGCGTTTCTCGGCAGAAGAGCTGGAGTCCTGGAACTTGCTGAGCAGGACCAACTACAACTTCCACTACATCAGCCTGCGCCTCACAGTACTCTGGGGGATGGGACTCCTGATCCGCTACTGCTTCTTGCTGCCACTCAGGTACAGGCCAGGATGGATTGAGGTGTCTCACCGGACGGCCAGGAGGAATATAGGACCCCTTATTGTTTCTCCTGGACAATCCCTAGAGCAGGGGTAGGTCACCTTGGCTCTTTTAGGACTCATGGACTTCAACTCCCAGAATTCCTGAGCCAGCATGGCTCAGCTTGGAAACCTCTCCCTTTCCCCTCAGCGTGGCTGGCTCAGGAATTCTGGGAGTTGAAGTCCACCAGTCATAAAAGAGCCAAGGTTGCCTACCCCTGTCCTGGACAATCCCTAGAGTGAAACCCTAGTGGTACAGGTGGTCCTCGACTTACAACAGTTCATTTAGTGACTGTTCAAAGCCACACTAGCAGTGGGGGAAAAAGTGTCTTACGACCGTTCTTCACACAACCATTGCAGCATCTCCATGGTCACGTGATCAAAATTAAAATGTCTGGCAACCGGCTCACATTTATGACGGTCGCAGTCTCCCAGGAGGGTCACGTGATCCCCTTTGGCGACCTTCTGACGAGCAACGTTGACGGGGAAGCCAGGTTCGCTGAACGACCGTGTCAGTAACTTAAGAACTGCAGCGGTTCACTTAACAACTTGTGGCAAGAAAAGTAGTAAGATGGGGCAAAACTCACTTCACCAAAGTCCTGCTTAGCGACATAAATGTTGGGCTCAATTGTGGTCATAAGTCGAGGACTACTTGTCCATCTCTCCCAGGGTAGAAAAGCATCCTGTTGGTCAGCCCCGATTCAAAAGGTTTAGCACAGGGTTCCTCAACCTTGGCCATTTTAAGACTTGTGGACTTCAACTCCCAGAATTCCTCAGCCAGCTTTGCTGGCTGAGGAATTCTGGGAGTTGAAGTCCACAAATCTTAAAGTGGCCAAGGTTGAGGAACCCTGGTTTAGCAGAAGCACAGAAGCTGCCTTGCCGTGATCTGAATGCTCTGAGGTTGTACTTTAATACCTTGTTCTCCCTTCCTCCCCCTTTTCCCCCCCCTTCCTTGTAGGGTTGCCCTGGCTTTTACTGGTATTGGCCTTTTGGTGACAGGCACTACCATGGTGGGCTACTTACCCAATGGAAGGTGAGTCCTCCGCAGCAGACTACATGAAGTTCACCATCCAAAAGGAGGAAGCCAAACATCTAAAAGAAATCAGTTGCTGGGGTTGTGAAGTGGTTGGTCAGCTCTTATACACTGAATTGCTGTCATCTCCATGATTTGGATTGTCCTTCCACAGCAAAGATGAACCTCTTTTCCTTCTCTCTCTCCCCAACTCTTTTGGCAGAAGAGCCAAGAGTTAAAAGAAGTGTGACCCACCTTTTCTGGCATTCCTTTCCATTCCTGTGGGATGCTGTCCTCGGATTCCTGAGGGATTGTTAAATAAACTTAGCAGGCAGTTTAGAGAGGCAGTTAGGCATAGGAAGGAGGCAGGCAAACCATTCCCAAAATCTTGCCAAGGAAATAGCTGGGATTTACCCAGGCAATCACCATAGTCAAGAATGATTTGAGGACACACCAAAAAAAAAAAAAAAAAAGATTTGAGTGGAGTAATAGGTTATTCTGCAAAAAGGCTGGCGGATCTCAGGGTCTATTTCAAAAGGCCGGCTTAACTATTTGTTGGATACCATCTTAAGGAAATGCCTGTCCCAAACTCTTGGCCTTTACACAGCTTTTTGACTTACATCTTACTTGGAAATCAGCCAATTGTTGGGAAAGACTTACGGTTCCTGCTTTGCAGAGGGATGTTCAAAGGAGTGGGGTTCTCGTAAGAAATCAGGAGCAAAGGGTCTTTGGTGCTGTCTGAGCATGATTATTTTATTGTAGACATTTCGTGACCCCAACTGGATAACATCATGCAGTGCTGATGAAAACAGTCTGCAAGAAAACCACCAAGCTCAGAGAGCACCAAGGACCCCTCCTTTCAACTTTGAGCTACAAATATTCTCCTTTGTTGAAATTGGAAGCAACCATCAAATTCAGCGCTTTTGTCAAAATGACAACTGCAGCACTGCGCCGTCGCTGTGCCACTTCCACCCTTTTCGTATGTCTCTGTGACATCAAAGCACATGCACGTAAGAGGAGAGCGTAATATTTGGCGTCTCTATTTCCTGTCCCAGAATGCTTTGAAGACAAACGCTCACCGCCCCCTCTTATACCTACCACCTATTCTAAATTGTGGCCTTTCCTGATGGGGAATTCCTAATTAACCTAATTAATGTTGTGAATCGGCAACACTTAAAATTGGGTGCACTGTTTTATTATTTTTTCCTTGAGATTTGTAAGCGTTGCTTGGGAAAGGCAAAGTAATTACATATAAATTATGTTAGCAGTTGCGTTGAATTCTAAATTGAGATGGAATAACACTTTTTTTTTTGTCTTTAGGTACAAAGAATTCCTCAGCAAGCACGTGCACCTGATGTGCTATCGGATCTGCATAAGAGCTCTTACAGCTATCATCACCTATCATCACCGGTATGGTGGGGACTGGGTGAAAATTTGTGAAATTATTTGCCCAAATAAAGAACAAAACTTTTCTATGTGCTATGATTCTCTGGAAAGGTAGCATAGACAAAATGTAAAACTGGCTAGAGATTTGAGATGTAAACATTGTAAACATTTAACAAGTATTTGATTTATTGATTGATTTACTAGATGTTCATGTCATTTGTATTCAGTAAGTAACTCAAGCCAGTGAACACACTTAGTAGACCTTCCCCCTCCTATTTTCCTCACCACAACAGTCCTCTGAGGTGGGGTGGGCTGAGAGGGAGTGACTGGCCCAAAATTACTCAGCCAGCTTTTTATGCCAAAGTTACTGAATGCTATAGCGCTGAGATGATAAACGTTTGTGAACAAAGTCTATTATTTTGTCAGAAAACGGAAGGATGTCTAGATTCCTGTTGCTTGAGGTATAATTTATCTAGGCAACTGTCCACTTATGAAGGTTTTTGGCATAGCATTTGGAGTTCTCAAATAAGTTTGGGGGGGGGGTTGTGTTTGTGATTTAAATATATAATGTTCTGGTCTGTAGGGCAAGACCTAGAGCAGAGGTGGGGAACTATGGTCCCTTTTATCATTTGTGGACTTCAGCTCCCAGAATTCTGGGAGTTGACATCCACAAGTCATAAAAGGGCCATAGTTCCCCAACTCTGGCCTAGAGGTTCTTTGTCCAGGGGATTGGGGAGTGAAGGATGCATACACACAAACTATCTGCCTTGCTCTTGAATCAGTTGAGCACTTGCTTCGGGTTTTCATGTAAGCTCTTTCCTTGCTAACCTTAGGGAAAACAGGCCCCGCAACGGAGGAATCTGTGTGGCTAACCATACATCTCCAATTGACGTCATAATTCTGGCCAGCGATGGCTACTATGCAATGGTAAGGACAGCAAGTCTTCGTGCGTGGTGTGATTCCCAACTGGTGCAGAATAAATCCCATTAAATGCTCCTGTCAAACTGAACACATTTCAGTGGCTTTCTTGACATGGGCAGTGCCCCTCATCGCCTCCATAGAAGCAGATGCTGGTCACCTCTTCAGCAATATCACTTGTACATTTGGATGGAAGTCAAATGATTGAAGCAAGTGGGGCAGCTGCTGAACAATTTGTCCAGAGTCATTTATGCTTCTCTTGTCCTTAGAAGCTTAGGATCCTGGGAGAGCATTAACTTAGACCACACCTGGAATATTGCAGTCAATTTTGGTCACCATATCACAAAAAAGATGTTGAGAGTTTGGAAAAAATTCAGAGAAGAGCAACTAAGATGATCAAAGGCCTGGAGACTAAAACATATGAAGAATGGCTGCAGGACTTGGGTTTGGCTAGTCTAAGGAAAAGAAGAAATAGGGGAGACGTGATAGCAGCATTCCAGTATCTGAGGGGCTGCCACAAGGCATAGGGGGTCAGGTTGTTCACCAGAGCACCAGAGTTAAGGACAAGAAAATAATGGTTGAAAACTGATCAAAGAGAGAAGCAACCTGGAATTAAGGAGAAACTTCCTGACAGGACAATTAACCAGTGGAACAACCTGCCTCCAGAAATCGTGGGTGCTCCATCACTGGAGGTTTTTAAGAAGAGACTAGATAGTCACTTGTCTGAGATGGTATAGGTGTTGTTCTGGCACTGCTGCTGCGGGAAGTGACCTCTGGCCTCTTCTTCTTTGCTCAGGTGGGCCAAATCCACGGAGGGCTCATGGGCGTCATACAGAGGGCCATGGTGAAGGCTTGTCCTCATGTCTGGTTTGAACGTTCTGAGGTCAAGGATCGCCATCTAGTGGCTAGACGGTACGTAGCCCACGACTTGCTCTCCTGGTAGAGTGGACGGGAGCCCCACCTCACCTCTTCCTGGGTTGTGTGTAGGTGACTGAGAATCCAGTCCTGCATTGCTGACATCTCTTTCTTTTTCTCTGTGTCTTCCTTTAGGCTATCGGAACATGCTAATGATAAAAGTAAACTGCCCATCCTTATTTTCCCTGAAGGTAAGCCCAGATGAGTGAGCCTGTTGCTTCTTGATGTTGTTAGTTGCAAAGTCGTGTCCAATCCATCGTGACCCCATGGACAACATTCCTCCAGGCCTTCCTGTTCTCTACCATCTTCTGGAGTCCATTTAAGCTCACGCCTGCTGCTTCAGTGACTCCCTCCAGCCACCTCATTCTCTGTCGTCCCCTTCTTCTATTGCCCTCAATCTTTTCCAGCATTAGGCTCTTCTCCAGTGAGCCCTTCCTTCTCATTAGGCGGCCAAAGTCCTTGAGTTTCAACTTCAGGATCTGGCCTTCTAAGGAGCAGTCAGGGTCGATCTCTAGGACTGACCGGTTTGATCGCCTTGCAGTTCAGGGGACTCGTAGGAGTCTTCTCCAGCACCATAATTCAAAGGCCTCAAGTCTTTGGCTTTCTTATGGTCCAACTTTCTTATGGTCCAACTTTCACAGCCATACATTGCTGTGCTTAAAAATGAATGAAATGGAAAGTTGGCATTTTAAACCACAGAGCCAGCAAAAAAGTAGAGACAGACATAGCTCTGAGCTTCCTTTTCCTAAACTGCATGTTGCTGCTTGGGCTGGAGGAACATGATCATGGTGGAAATTAGGTCCTCACCGCTATTCCTGCTGGCTTAGGAATTCTGGGAGTTGAAGTCCACAAGTCATAAAAGAGCCAAGGTTGCCTACCCCTGGGATAGACTCTTCTAGGCACTAGCTAGAAATTATTGTAATTTTTTTACTTGGATTTCGTTATGTCATGTTATTTTTCCACATTGACTTGATTTTAACAGATCTGTAATTTAAAGTGGCCCAAGATTAACGTCCTGAAAAAAATTTTTTATTCAATTTTACTTATATTTTCAGTTTTGTTTTTTCTCTATTTTGTTTTCTTTTGCTCTACTTGCATTTCTTCCTTATAAAACATTTCATAAAAATAATAACTAAAAAAGGAGGACAAAAGAGGGCAACAGCTCCCATTTTTCTGTTCTGAACTGACAATAACTATTTGGAATGAGCAGTGTAAATTAAAGTGTTTGTTCTGTTTTGAAATAAACCTGTGGGCGTGCTTCTGTGTGCCACTCTGAGTCAGATTCGTGTCAATTAGATGGATTGGGACAGCAATCCAGGGGCTTCTTGTTTTGAGGTCTGACTGTCCTTAACACACATTAAGTCTCACAGGAGATATTCTTTCATTTCTTTTAACAGGCACGTGTATCAACAACACTTCTGTGATGATGTTTAAGAAAGGGAGTTTTGAGATTGATGCTATAGTTTATCCTGTCGCCATCAAGGTGAGCACTGTTGCTGCTTAGCAAACACAATGAAACTTGAAGGTATGAGACATAGGTAAGAGTGGAACCTGGACAGGTGGGTGTGGCTCTGCTTTCCGGGTGTGGCAGAGATATCTGAAAGTAGGTGGGACCCGACAGTTTATCAAGGCAGCTTCTGGAATGCCGTCCTGTAATCCCATAATCGTGTACTGTTATGCTGTATTTGGGGCATTTGTTCTTGTGCTCTGAGTGAATCTTCTCGCCATCTTGCCTTTCTCCCACCCACCCCATCCCACCCACCCCTTTTTTTTGTCTTCAGTATGACCCCCAATTTGGAGATGCCTTTTTTAACAGCAGCAAATACGGTATGGTGAACTATCTGCTCAGGATGATGACTAGCTGGGCAATTGTCTGCAGCGTCTGGTACCTGCCCCCAATGACCAGAGAAGTGAGTTAACTAGATCTGGGCCTCTGGATGCCGGGAAAATCAGCTGAGACTTTCCCAGGACCCTTTCTGAAAGCAACTGACCCTCTTGGCTCTTCTTCCTTTCAGCCTACTGAAGATGCAGTGCAGTTTGCCAACCGGGTGAAATCTGCCATTGCCAGACAGGGAGGCCTGGTGGATCTCTTGTGGTAAGCCAGACCCTGTTGTTGCCGATGGGTTGATTGGTGGAGGGCACAGAGGGAAGGAGACAAGTGTATCTGTGTGAATCTCACCCGTGGCCTAGTCTTGCCCTGCTCACCTGATATTTTGTGCTTGGAAAGTACAGGTAACCCTCTCCCAGCAGGTGGTCTAGATGGAGGGGGGCTAATCAGGCCCCGAGGGAGGTGCTCTGCATCTTGGGGAACAGCACAAACCCGAGTCCTACTTTCTGCAGGGCCACTTGGGAAATCCTGTTCTTTGTGCTCCCCAAAGGCCGGTTCCCTAGCCGCCCTCCTGCTCAGGTCCAGAGTGGCAGTCCCGCTCTGACAGGTGTCTTTCTTTTCCCACAGGGACGGGGGCCTAAAGAGGGAAAAGGTGAAGGACACCTTCAAGGAAGAACAGCAGAAGCTCTACAGCAAGATGATCGTGGGCAATCACGAGGACCGAAGTCGCTCCTGAGCTCCCAGAGATTGGGAGGGGAGGGGGAATAAGGGGGGATCTGTTACAGCACTGACTGCCTAAGAACAATTCCTGGTCTTGGGACTCCTAGATGACCTGCAGCAGCATCCATTTTTCAAACTCCCCCCCCCTCCCCGCCCGCTCCCCATGGTGCTGCTCCCTTGTGTCCAAAGGAAAAGAGACCTGGTCATAATTTCTCCAGCTCAGACCCAGCAGCAGCAACCGAGGACTTTGGCAAGTGCAGTGCTGGTCGTCTTTGGCAGCAATCGGCTGAAGTCCACCCATGTCTCCAGCGGAGTGCCACCGGGGCAGGCGGAGATCCTCCCACCACTTCCGGTAGGAAGTGCTTCGGAGGAAGGCCGGCCAGCACCTCCTTGCTCCTTCCGCCCTCACTCCCGTCTCCCCTCTCAAGAAAAATGGAAAGCTGAATGCAGCGGCTGCATGGGTCCCCCTCTGCATTTTATATTAAATAATGTTGAAGGAGGCAGCCTGGCGTTGAGTCTGGCTCTCTTGGCCTTGGCTGCATTTTCGCTCTGGGTGCTGACAGGGCAAGGGGCTCCCCTGAGTTCGAGCCCGCCCCCTTGGCTGCCCTGCGTTATTCCTTTTGCATGGCATACTTGAAGGAAAGGGCTGGGTACAAGGGTGGCCTGAAAAACAAGGTCAGGAAAATAAGAATAGAATGGAATGGAATCTGGAAGGGATAAATTGATAAATTTGGTGTGTAACTGTGGGAAACCGATTTGACCCATAAAGAACTTGGCAGTTTGGAAACTTGGCCTGTCCATCAGCAGATTCTGCAAATAACTCTGGGCTGAATTACATAGGCATAAATCCCCCACCGTCCCTTCCAGCTTGCAGATCTCCCAAGTAATCCCTGCTAAGTTTCAGCTGTAAAAAAAGGAAACATTTAGCATTTGCTGAGCCAGGCAGACAGTTTCAGTTGCTGAAGTCAGTGGCCCTGACTGCAGGCAGCCCAACAGCTGACAACGCAGCCATTTTAAAGTCTGTTTCAGAAGCATTTCTGTCATTTCAGGGATGCCACCCATCCCCTTGCTTTTCTCCCAAGCCCTGGCATTTTTGTTCTCTTGTGCTTGGGTCCCTTGCATCGCTCCCTGTCACTTCAGCCTAACTATTACTTCTGCCATGGATCTGGGTGGAAACCGTACACCCAAAGACCAAGGAGGCATCTTCTTCATTCAGATTCTGAACAGCCTTCTCCCCAGCCAATATTTCTAGCCCATCTCGGTTCCTGGGCTGGATGAAACTGAAGCACCTACACCTTCTGAAAGTCATTTGTGTGTGAGAGTGAGGAATGAACCAATCTCTCCCTCTAGCTGTGCGGTTGTGTGGGACTTGCAAGCTCTGGAAGAACCTTGGCTCTTTCTCAGTCCTTGAGGACCAAAGCAGTCAGCCTAGATTGACTGGAGCAAACCTGGGTTTTTGGATTTCAGAAGGAGGCCCTTCACATTGGACCTCAAGCTGGAATTCCTATCTCTGAAACTTGGATGTTGTGTATACAAGGAGGTGCTCCAGTCCCCTAGATGGCAATCTCATTAGTCTTGCATGATCATCTCTGCTCAAATTAGAAACAAGTTCATCCTTGAAACATGAAACCAGCTATATTATCTACAAATAACTAGGTAATGGGTGTCTTGGGGGGGGGGGAGGATGTGCGTGTGTGTATATACACACATACAGTCTGTGAAAGCCCTCAAAAGCAATGCGCAGGAACACCCACCTTTGAATTGTTAAAAGCAGCTGTATCCTTTGTACAATTTAACAGATGTGGATAATCTCTCTTTAACACACACACCTCTCCATTAATAACGTATGCCCAGATTTGCTATTGTAAGATGTGTGAAAATACTCCTATGAAACGTTCTCTTTAAATATATTGGACTGCAACTCCCTTTGCTGCCAAGCCAGCATGATAACCTAAGCCATCTTCACCAGGGGCCTTGAGAGTTGCTCTCAAACTTCAGCAAGGACCCAGCTGGAAGAGTCTGCCTTAAGACATGCATGGCGAACAAAGGACTTACCGTCTTGACTTGATCAGCCCTTGCTTCTTTTCAGCAGCATCGGACAGATTGGAAGAATTCGCCTGCATCTTGCATTTCCCACGGAGGACTTTGTTCAGCCTGGAACGGCCTTCCTAGATCCAAAACCAGTGCTTCACCCGTTCACCACATTCCACAAAGCTGCCACCTGAGATTCTGTGTCAGAAGTTGTCTTCTTTCGAGCCATGCGAGGGAAGGTTTTTCCTCCGACTCCTTTGGCTGCAGCCCCTGAGAACAGCTTTGGCCTATGGGAACGCCGGGAGAAAGAAGGCCTCACCTTGGATAGGTGTGGGTTCCCAACGTTCTCAACTTCCTGAAAGAGCAACGGGCAGCGATCCTTCTAGGGAGCAGCCCATTTTCTTTGTTTGTGTACAACCCTGAACTTTGCCCAGCTTTGATAAAAGAGATCATTCTTTCAGAATAAGCAGCTCCTTAGCTGCTCCGATGCCTGTCACCTTGGCGCTTCTTGACCTGTGAATGAAAACTAGCACCAGGTCTACTGCAATTATTCCATCGCTTCTCCGTTTGATCTGGGGGGGATTTATTTTTCTAAAAGTATTTCAAAGCTAGGAGAATTTGGGTAGACCAAGGAGTGTGTAAGCGGAGATCCTGTCTTCTTGCCCATCTTCATTACAGAATCATTTCTAAAGAGTCCTTGGTGCTCTCTGAGTTTGGTGGTTTTCTTGCAGATGTTTCATTTCCCAACTAGGTAAGAAAATCACCAAGCTCGGAGAGGTCCAAGGACCTTCATTTCAACCCTCAGCTACAAATATTTTCCTCTCTAGGTACAACCCTTTCTCCAATGGTTTGGCTTCACACATCTCCTTTAAAGCTCCTTCCAGGTGATGGCTTTCTCAGGAATAATGCTAGGGTCACCACTAAGGAGGTATCCTGCCATTGTGGTATTACGGGACAATCTCTTCTTTTCCTGGAAAAACTATAATAAATTAACCACCTAAATGAAGGGTAGGCAACCTTGGCTCTTTTAGGACTGGTGGACTTCAACTCCCAGAATTCCTGAGCTAGCATGGCTCAGCTTGGAAATCTCTCCCTTTCCCCTCAGCATGGCTGGCTCAGGAATTCTGGGAGTTGAAGTCCACTAGTCATAAAAGAGCCCAGGTTGCCTATCCCGGCATAGGTTCTCTGCCCACAAATTGGGTGAAGAATTGCTTCAGTTCTGAATGTGAATCACTTTTGTAGATGGTACACCCCCAGTTAATGGTTTGAAACAAAGGCCTCTTTGCTTCATCCCTTAAGTACACGGCCAGCCTCTCGGGTCTTTAATAAAGGAGGAATGTTGAGGTAGAATTCCATAACAGAGGAAATTTCTTAGCGGGCAGCCTCCTTTTCTAATATCTCCGTAGCCAAAGGATTCTCAAACAATCCTCTTAAAATTATAGATCAGTCTGATACAGCCTCCCAGGGCTGGGCAAGAAATAAACACACCACGTTTAATGCTTACATTTTAATACAGGTAGTAATAACACGGTGACAACCTTGCAATTTTATAAAATAAAACTTTTATTCTCACAAATTGTGCTTTTAAATTGAAACCATGACGTTCCTTAGTTTTGCAAAATTCCTGTATGGGTTTCAGTTGAAATAGTTCCTTTCTCCTTCCACATTCTTGTTGGAATAAAGCACAGCTAGTCCTTGAGTTACAACAGTTCGTTTAGTGACAGTTCAAAGTTACAATGGCACTGAAAAAATGTGACTTATGATTGGTTTTCACAGTTACAGCCTTTGCAGCCTGGGATCAAAATTCATATTTATGACCGTTGCTGTGTCCCAAGATCACATGATCCCCTTTTGTGACCTTCAAGGAAAGTCAATGGGGAAACAATTAACTACCAGGTTGCTAATTTATCAACTGCAGGGATTCACTTAATGAGGGCAAGAAATGAGGCAAAATTCACTTAATGACTGTTTCCCTTAGCAGAAAGAGAGGAGAAGTGAATTTGGCCACACTCTTGCTTTCTGCCCACCCAGTTCTCCCCACCAACTCATTGCAAGCCGTCTTAGATTTGCTCACAAGCCCTTGTTTGGGAACTCCTGCAGTAACAGTAGACAGGGCTTACTTCTCACCACAGATGGCACCATTAAGTTCATTATTGCTTTTCTCAAATTGCTAAGCAAGGTGGAACCTGATTAGTTTTTGGATGAGAGACAAAACACCAAGGCTCTAAACCAGACTGGAAGGACCAAAGTATTTTGGAACACAAGGGCTCAACACTCCAAGGTTATTGCTGAGAAAACGAGCCACGTTCAATGGGCCTTCAGGAGCTGAGCTGCACTCAAGGCAGCCCTTTGCTTTAAGCCCCATCTGGAGACCCCTCGCCATGAGGATGAGGATGAGGATGATGTTCTCCATTTGGTTGTGTCTGACTCTTGGCGATTCTACAGGCCGGGTCTCTCCACATGTCTTCCGATCTTGCACAGCTTCTTTGTGTTCTTCTACGCTCTGGCCGGTGTCAGCCTTCTTGGTGTTCAGCCACCGTGTTCTTTGGCAGCCTTTGGTTTCCTTTGACCGCTCACTCTTGCGAACATAATTGCTTTCTCCGGTGAATTCCCCCGTGTGACATGACCAAAATAAATGAGACACAGTTTTGTGATTTTGCCGTCCAGTGACGTGTCTGGTGTTATGCGCTCCAGCACTTGCTTGTTGGTCACCTTTGCTGTCCAAGAAGCCTCTCCTCCTAATAGGGCTCCTCTACCTATAACATCACCATCAACAGGGTGGGTTTACGATTGAAACCCCTAGAATTCCTAGTGGGAGCTGCAGTCCCAGCAAGGGACATCCTAACTCAGAGCAGTTTTTTCTAAGCTGATACTTTCCAGATCTGGCTGTGAAGTGGCTCGGCAGTTAAGAGGCTGGGCTGGTCAGGTGGAAAGCCAGCAGCCCAGGGTCGATGGGGTGAGCTCCCCTCCTCGCCCAAGCTCCTGCCATCCTAGCAGTTTGGAAGCATGCAAATGCAAGTAGGTAAATAAGTACCACTTTGGTGGAAAGGTACCAGCTGCCCACGTGACCACCGAAATGCTGTCGAAATGCCTTCAGACAGCGTTGGCTCAATGGCCTTGAAACAGAGATGGGTACTCCTCCGTATAGTCAGCAACAACTACTGGAGTAAAATCTACAGGGGGTCCTTTATCTTTACTCCTTCCCAGATATACCAGGAGTGAAAAAATTCTCAAATTTCCCTTGGGTGGGAGGTTGCGAGGCTGTCCAAAATGAATCTGTGGCTGTGTGTGTTTTCCTGGGCCACTGCAAGGGGCTCAGAGAGGCCACCTTGGGTATCAGACCTTCCCTGGATGAGGCAGCTGAGTCTTCCAGCCATCATCTGTCTGGCAATTGTCTTGATCTATTGAAGGACAGACGTCCAGGGAGCCAAGAAGGGAAGCAGCAGACAGAGCAGAGAGGAGACAGAGCCATTTAGAGCTGCAAGGCCACCCAGGTGACTTCAGAAGCATCCATCTTGCTGGAGTGTCCCCCTCTTCTCCTCCTGCCACCATCGCCCCCCTCCCCCAGTCAATACCTCTCTCTCTCTCCGATGGGAAAGTTAATAAATTTAGCTCTAGATTAAAAGTATCGATCATTTCATTTGTAAATGGTATATAAATGGGGGGCTACTTGGGCAACCAAGAAGGCAAGGGCTGGCTCAGGCTGCCACTGGGTGGGTGGGGGAGATGGAGGCCCCCTTATCTGCATTCCATCCGGGTGCAAGCATTGATTTCCTATTAGTCTCCTTGCACCACCCAATAGCACATCATTCCAGGATCTGCTATTAATGGCCTTTTGATAAATAATCACTTGTAAGTCAATACATTTTTATTAAAGAGTGGGGTGCTTTGATTTATGAAAATCTGACAGGGTTTGTCTGGAAGAAAAGGGATGTGGAATTGAAGTGGAAGAACCATCCATCCGGCTAGTCAACATCTCCCCCCTTGCACACAAACTCACTCCACATCCCCTCGCACCGCCCGCTCGGCTTTCACTGCCCAGAACGTGATCCCAGCTGTGCTTCCCAGGCCAAGTTACAGCTAGCAAAACTTTGCCTCACGTTCAGACACTGAAACCGAGCAAGTAATGCTTGGCAACTGGAGGAATCATCGAATGTGGTTTCAAAGTGAAGTAATTTGAAATAAGAAGATGCCGATTGGAGAGAATATTCTCTCCTATCAGCATCTTCTTATTTGAAATGAGGGGTCCTTGGTGCTCTCTGGACCTGGTGGCTTTTCTGCAGATGTTTCATTCCCAAACTAGGGAACATAGTGCTAGAAGGGAATGGGGTTTGCAAAAGGAGAGGAGGAGGAGGGGGGGGAAAGATCTTGCAAAATTGGAATTGATTGATTGAACTTTTTAGTCCCACCCAGTCTGCTGTTACCACTGCAGCCACACCCACCCAATGGGCCACACCCATCCAATGGGCCACACCCACCCGGCACTCAACGATGCATAAGTGGGTTTTGGGTTGCAATTTGGGCACTCGGTCTCTAAAAGGTTCGCCATCACTGTCCTATGATAAGAAGTAAGAATAGCTTGCCCTGGGTTTGTTGGTTGGTCTCTTTGCAGATCTTGGAGGGATGTTTGGCCAGAGCGAGCTTTTCTCCCGTGGCATGGCAAAAGCGAGCGCGCAAAGAGGGCCCTTTAGATGCCCATTTGTCATTCTCTCTGGCTGCCCGGGGCCTTTTGCCACCTGCTGTATTTTTCTTCCTGGGCTGACGGCATGGCAGACAGGTGTTAAACTACTTAATCACTTTAAAATTGTTTTAATTTTCTGTTTTGTATTGATCTCTCCTACACCAATTAATCAGCTCACTGGACCAGGCAGTTAGTACATTAAAAATTGTCAGCTACGCCAAACAGCTTAGAAAATGCCAAAAACATATTCCACCGGCATGAGAGGTCCAAGGTGAGCGAGAAGACCGCTGAGATAAAGTAACTGCACCAGGGACGTGGGGAAGTGGGCAAGACTTTATCCTGGGCCACCATTACAGCCAGAAGCTGCCTCGCCTCTGAAATCCTCAAAGACTGACTTGACAGCAGCTTTCCTCTTAAGGACTCAGGCAAGCAGGATTGGTGCTCTTTCAACAACATCTAAAGCAGGGGTCTTCAAACTTGGCCCTTTTATGACTTGTGGACTTCAACTCCCAGAATTCCTCAGCCAGGCACGCGTAGAATGTCTACCATTTTCAAAAGACCAGGTTGATCACAGGGGAATCCACAGTCAACAAAATCAAAGATGTGGGTCACAATCAGGTGGTCAAAGCCCTGCAACATTGGTGGCGTGGCTTGAAGCACAGGTCTACAAGCCATCATTTTTAGTCTATTTTTAACCTCCTTCCCGCTGACATCCCAGGGTGATGACGTGGACCCGAGATGAGATTGACCTTCTAACTTGGAAGAAAAGACTCACGAAAGCAAGTTTAGTGATGGGCAACTGATCCCAACGCTTCCATTGTTGCCCTTGGCTAGTTTATTAATTGCTGCTTGATGGACCTTATCTCCCATTGATTTTTCTGCTCTCCAGATATTGCAGCTGTGTTTGCTTCCAGCCAGCTGCCACCGATGCACTCTGGGATGGAGTCATGGTTGGCCTCGCCCCGGGGGACAGAGAGGGGTGGTTAGCTATCTCATTTCTTGTTCCCTCAAAGGTAGATTCCACCAGGAACTATGATCTTGAAAAAGGGACCACGTTGCAGGAAAATCACTTAGAGTCCTAGGGAAAACAGGATGTGCTTACGCAAAGACTTTTGATTATGTTGCTGGGTAGAAATATGCTCATATACTAATCCGTGGGGACTTTTTCCCAGTTGCTAAACAAAGCAGAAATTGCAGGCTCCTCAAGAAATGTAGGAAGGTGGAAGATGGGACCTCTGAACTCCATCCAGTTCCATTTTGTACAAGGCAACATTGCAGTTTTATCATCAAGACGTTATCCTGCATGTTTTTTCCCCTGTGCTTTCTACTTTGCTTCAAACTCAATTTGGGTCTGATGAAGAAGGACAGGGCTTTAAATCAGGTCGTTTTAAAAAAAAAAAAAAGACAGTACAATTAAATGTTTACACAAAAAAACTGGAAATTTTAAGGATGAGCAAAAGGATGTACCAATCAAGTTACCTGGATTTATTTTTCTATTTTTCAGGATATATGGGCTGCTCATGTATTTTTTTTGTGTGTGTGCATTTTAATAAAGCAAATCCTTTTGTAGAATGTGCTAAAAAAGATAATGGTTTTAGTACATAAAAAGGGAGGGAGAGATGGCGGGGGGGGGGGAGAGAGAGAAGGTTTTATGCAGATAGTCTTTGACTTATGACCACAATTGTACCAAAATGTCTGTCGCTAAGAGGAACATTTGTTAAGTGAGTTTTGCCCCATTTTATGACCCTTCTTGCCACTGTTGCTAAGTAAACTATTTCAGTTATTAAGTTAGTAATATGGTTATAAAGTGAATTTGGCTTCCCCACTGACTTTGCTTGTCAGACAATCACAAAAGGGGATCACGTGATCCCGGGACACGGCAACCGTCGTAAATATGAGTTGGTTGGCAAGCGTCTGAATTTTAATCTTGTGACCACAGACATGCTGCAAAGGTCATAAGTATGAAAAACAGTCATGTCTTTTTTTTCGGCGGTGTTATAATTTTGAACAGTCGCTAAACCATTGATTGTAAGCCGAGAGAGAGAGAGCGTGTGTGTGAGAGAGAAGAGAGAGCGAGAGAGTGAGAGAGATTAGCAAACATTTGCTGGTTCAAATGTTGAATTTTATGTCTAGTACAGGGGTGGGCCACCTTGGCTCTTTTATGACTCGTGGACTTCAACTCCCAGAATTCCTGAGCCAGCCACGCTGAGGGGAAAGGGAGAGGTTTCCAAGCTGAGCCATGCTGGCTCGGGAATTCTGGGAGTTGAAGTCCACGAGTCATAAAAGAGCCAAGGTTACCTACCCCTGAGCTAGTTCTTTATTAAGTGTACAGATAGAAAAATCTCCAAGGTAAACATTCTAAAACCTCCGAAAGAAACACCTTTCATTTGAAGGAACTTCAGGAACTCTGAGTCAGTTACTTTCAACAAACCAGCAGTTTGAACAAAAGATCATCTAGATCAGTGGCCCCCAACCTTTTTTGCACCAGGGACCGGTTTCTTGGAGAGCATTTTTTTCCACGGATCGGAAGGACTTGGTTTTGCGTGCTGCCTGTCTCCTGCAGATGGTGCTTCACTTGTTTGCGCGGTCTACTTTCTGGCATGCTGTGGCCCAGTGGCGGTCCAGAGACCAGGGATTGGGGACCCCTGATCTAGATCTTTTGATCTAGATACCTCACCCCATTTTTCTTCCCATCCGATTGCTTTCTCCAACTTCTGGTTTGGGTTTTATAGCAGCCCTGCTTCTGGAGAGCTCTAATCTTGGAACCGGAGTGCAGGACCCAGCCCTTTGGACTTCAGCATGTGACCCAAGCACACTCAGGGCCTCCCACAGTCTGGCCAGGAGGACAGAAATGGGAGCAAACAGGAGCTATTGACACAGCATCAATTCTGCCCCTTTGACAGCTCAATAGGTTTTTGCTGGTCGGCCCAAGATAAATGGAGATTGATTGTGTGCTAATATGTTCCAGCAAGAGGCCTAATGAGCGACTTTTGAACTGACACGGAGTGTTCTTGCAAGACTCAAGAAAGTACAAGGGCCGAGGCAAAGAAGTTCCCTCTTTTTCCAGCTACAAGAAGAATCCAATTTTGGTCACCACAATATAACAAAGATGTTGAGACTCTAGAAAGAGTGCAGAGAAGAGCAACAAAGAAGATTGGGGGGTGAAGGCTAAAACATATGAAGAACGATTGCAGGAATTGGGGATGTCAAGATTGATGAAAAGAAGGACGAGGGGTGACATGATAGCAGTGTTCCCATATATGAGGGGCTGCCACAAAGAAGAGGAGGTTAAGCTATTTTCCAAAGCACCAGAAGGAAAGACAAGAAGCAATGGATGGAAACTGAACAGAAATAGAAACAACTTATCTCTAAGGAGAAATTAGTAAGAACAACTTGCCTCTAGAAGTTGTGGGTGCTCCACACTGGAGGCTTTTAAGAAGAGACTGACAACCATTTATCTAAAATGGTATAGGGTCTCCTACTTGAGCAGGGGGTTGGACTAGAAGACCTCCAAGGTCCCTTCCAACTCTATTATTCTGTTATACGTATATACATACACACAAAGAGCTGCTATGCATAAAACTGAAATGGGATGAACTTAAGTAATAAAATTTAACTGATTAAAACTGGTATTAAAAGGATCAAAAAGGACCCAAAAGCAGAAACATGCGACCCACTTAATATAAATGCAACATCTCCTTAGCAAGCAGCATGCCAGCTAAGAAAATACGTACAAGACTGTTTTGTAAATAATTACCCAGCTAGCAAGAGGCAAGAGAAATATATGCAGGTGAGTAGGATGAAAGATGAGGGATTTTGAGATTATAACATTATTCCGGTATTTTTTGCCCACTCACCCAGTCCCAAAATCTGGAAGCCCTACAAGTTGGGGAAGGTTGATCCGAATCAGGGCTTGATGACCTTGGCCACTTTAAAATGTGTGGATCACACACACTGGCTGGGGAATTCTGGGGAGTTGAAGTCCACATATCCTAAAGTCATCCAGGTTGACGAACCCTGATCTAAAGAAAGCTTCCCTTGAGTTGGGCTCAATCCCTGGTGATAACATGGACATAGCCATATTATTTTTTTGGTAACACTTCAAAGTCTATTGCCATTGACATATATGAATGATTCTGTTATTGGACTATTGATTACCTTATTACCATGCTGCTTCCTAATTACCTGGATGTAAAAACTGAAAAATTTAATAAAACTTATTTTAAAAAAATTGCCTGGTTCCAGAATTATTTGTCTATTTTAACCAGGGCCAACTTTGCTTAACGTCCCTCAAAATTAGACAATCTTTCCCAGGTTCTGTCACCCACTGACAACTAAAACAATTAACTCTGCATTACTGTGGCACACAGAGTGATCACGGTGGAGATCACACCATATTTTATCTATCCCCCTTTTGTCATTTCATATTATTTATTTAATAGATTCTTATCCTGCCTTTATTATTTTTGTAAATTATTCAAGGCGACGAAGTTATCTAATGCTCCTTCCTTCTTCTATTTTCCCTGCAATAACAGCCCTGTGGGGTTTGTTGGGCTGTGAGAGAGAGACCGACCCAAAGCTTCCCAGCCAGAATGTCTTACTCATTGCAGGACCAGAATTAATTGGTTTTTAGGCCAGCACCATAATTGCTGTGAAAGTTATCTCTTGCTTCAATGTTTCCTTCCTTCCTTCCTTCCTCCCTCCCTCCCTCCCTCCCTCTTTCTTTTCTTCCTTCCTTCCTTCCCTCCCTTCTTTTTATTTCCTTCCTCCTTCCTTCCCTCCCTCTCTCCCTTCCTTCCTTCCTTCCCTCTTTCCTCCCTCCCTCCCTCCCTTCTTCCTTCCTTTTTTCCTTTCATCCTCCCTTTTCTCCTGTCCCTCTTCCCTCTCTCCCTCCCTCCTTTCCTCCTTTTTTTCTTTCCATTTCTTTCCTTCCCTGAGCAAAGCCAACATGATTTGAGATTGCACAAACATCCTTCTGCTGATTCTTTCCTGAGCTGCCCTGCCTCTTCTCATCTCTTCTGTGTGAAAGAAACAGCACCAGAAGCACATCAGGGTTATGCTTTTTATTGAGGAATTTGACTGGCACCTGTATGTACAGCTCATTCCCCCCCCCCCCAGCACATCCATCATCCCGTGCATTTCACCCTCTCTCCCGCCAACACCAGGCAGGCTCCCACCCACACCAAGGGCTCCAGAGAACCTTGTGCCATTCAGCAGCTGTAACCAAGCCGGGCAGAGCAGTGGGGGTGAAGGAGAAACTCCTGGCATATTCAGTGTGATTTATGCTGTTCCCCCAGTTTTGCAGATTCTTCCTTGCCAAAGGAAGTTTCGTCCTGAATTTAAGCTGCAAAAGCATCTCTACAGGGCATTCCCAGCATTCTGTGCTTTCTCACAGAGTTCGCAGATGCGAGAATAATTAGCTCTGAGAAGGAAAAAGAAGGTCAAGATTTAGCTCAACGGACACACAAATGCACCCACAACGACAGACACGGAACAAGCGAAGCTCTGGATGATTAGGGGACCTCCCTCCCTCTTCTTCCAGATAGAGGCTTTTGAGCCATCTTTGGCAGGAAAAACCAAGATAAACATTGAGATCTTCTTATTATCTCTCCCACCTGGGCGTTCACCTCCTGAAGGGCCAACCACCTTGTTTGAAAGTCTTCCAACTATCATGGCTTGAAGGCGAGAAATAGCAAGGTTTCTGTCTATTCCTCCAAACCTTTGGAGATGCCCTGCCCTATTTTCAGGAAGACCGAAGCAGAGGTGGCAGGCAGGGTGCACGTAGGAGCAAAAGGGATGAATACGTTTCGTTCCCCATTTATGGGAATCCACCGCCTGGAGTTTCTTCCATTTGGCAAACAGGAGAGATTCCATTTTTCTCATTTTCACACTACAGTACATCAAGCAAGGGAATGTATTTAAAAAATAATAATAAAAGCTTGCACTTACACTGCATACATTGAGTGCCCATTTCTCTGAACTTGATTGTACACATTTGTTGCAAATTCTGTCATGCTTTTCACAAATAGGTGCATTTTTGTACAGTTTTTTTCCCCCTAATATAATTTTCAAAAAATGGGAGGGCTGCATGGCACAACTCAGAAGCCTGTGAATTTGGTTGATAGCTAAGGAAGGACACAGAAATGGGTTTCAGCTTTGCAAAATCGGATTCCCATCTCGTGGGCACGGATGCCCAAATGTCCAGCCCTTTCTCCATCCACAAATTAGCCTCTCTGGTGTTTCCTTCTCTGCATTTCCCCTGCCAGAACTTCTTGATTCCCATTCTCTCCGAGGATGGGAAACAGGTAAAAAAAATAAAAATAGGCAGGTGAGAAGAGTTGAATGCTCTTCCTTTCCCGGTGTCAAAGGATGCATCTTTTTAATTCTCAAGGTGAGCAGAATATACCACATCCAACAAAACCTATCCAAAAGTAGCTTTTGAAAATAAATTAAGCCAGAAGAGAAAACACTAGAAAGAAATGAAAAGAAATGTGATTCTTTTTTCCATTTCTGTTTCTCTCCAGTCGCACGGGGGCAATTTCCATAATCTTCCGACAGCATGTGCAAATTGGAAAAACGGAGTTACACCAACTAAACCCCCAAAAGCAACATCTGGAAACAAACCCGCCCCCATCCCCAATGGATGGATAGAGCGAAATGAAGCCTGAATCATAGGGAAAGTGTTGGGGAAAGATTGCATTGGAATCTTAAGACTATAGATGTAGAATTTGATGCCTGTTTTTAAATCAGATTTTTAAAACCAAGTTCCAGGCATTTCCTCTGTCATCAAACTCCTGACATAAAAATTGCACTATTCTAGCACAGCTGCTAGATTTTCATTTATCCATTCTATAAGTATGTTACAAGTCTCTATTAGTTACTTTATGTCATTCCTCTAACCTAGGAATTGTTGTTTACTTCTTATTAAAAGCAATTCTATATAACTGCATTGTAAAGAACTTGGACAAAATTGCAGACAATTGGAGAAGCCATTTTGCCTGAGAAAATAGTAAAAGAAAGAAGCTAAGTAAAGTGCTCTGATTTGGTGCTATTCTTCATCTTCATTTATCGAGTTCGTCTCTAGCAGGAACGTTTGCAAGGGGAGGTCAAAAAATGTAAGGGAGTTTTGGGTCCTTGGTGCTATCTGAGCTTGGCTGGGTTTTTTGCAAATATTTCCCAATGAGGTAACATCACCAATGCTAGCATGAAGTGGCATTTGATCCCTGTTCATACACAAGTGGCTTGCCCTGTCATTGTCGGTGTTGGTGGGAGTGTTTTTGTTGATTTCAAGGCTGTTGTTTACCGTCTGAGTGTTTGAATTGGTAGCTCCTTGATTGGGGTAATGAATCTCTGCTTATCTGGGTGTTCACTGCAGATGAATTGAGAAACTATGAGCAACTTAAACCCAGCTAAGTCCAAAATTCCAGGAGAATTCTAGAAAGCCTGGCCCTCAGCTATCAACAGGCACATAGAGATAAACAACATCTACATACCATTCAAAAGAGACAATCAAAAAGCTAAAAGACCACAACCCCTCCTTGCCAGCAATCAACATCCAGATAAGCAGAGATTAGCATCGAGATTAATATGAGACCAACCATCAAATAATAAACAATTACCCCAATCAAGAATACACCAACTCAGACAAACAAGCTAACATTAAAAAACAACCTAATCAAGAAGCCATGAAGGAACACTGACAGGGCAGACCACAAAGAGCCAACCCTATTCCCTCCTAGTACTGATGATGTTCCCTAACTGGGTAATGAAACATCTGCAAGGAAACCACCAAGCTCAGAGACCACCAAGGACCCCACGGTTCACCCCTTCCCTTCCAATCAGGGAGGTGTTTGCCAGCATGCAATCTATTTGTTTTATTTCATTTCACGTACAGTATTAAATTTACATGCCATCCACCTCACTATCCAAAGCAATCTTGGTTGGCAATTATTAAAGTGCTGCCCCCCTTTTTTTTCCCAATATGAGTTATATGTACAGTACACTTAAAAAGGAGTGGGCTTGGCTCATGACCACATGCTGACTGTTTTGAGTCCCTCCCCTCCCCTCCAACTGTCTTCATTGGGGGGTGGATAAAACTACATGACTCAGTGAGGAGGGTGAACCCTTCAGAGGTTATTTCTCAGTTAGTTGACTTAAATTGATTGGCTGCCCAATTCCGGTAGACTCCAGAGAAATTTTAAGAGTGGTAATTAGGGACCATTGCAGACAATTGCAGGTATTCGGTCTATTCTCTACGTATTAACCTTGGAAAGAAACACGGTGGGAGAAGAAGCAGGAAAAGGTTCTTACAAATGGAGGGCAGAATTATCTGGACCGGTGTTTCCCAACCTTAATGCCCTGAAGCGGTGTAGACCTCAACTCCCAGAATCTCTGGGAATTGAAGTCCACATTTCTTCAAAGGACCAAGGTTGGGAAACACTGGTCTAGACCCTCTTGCAAAAATAGGTGGATGAAATATAGTGGATGCATTATAAACAAAAATAATAACTCCACTAGAAGCACCCCCTTATCTTCCAACTTTCCTTCTCCGCCCTCCAAAAACACCCCCAAATGCCTGCAAAATTTCCAACATTGTTCAGTTTGAACCAGGGAGAAGAAGCTATCAAAGGACCTCTCAGCTGATGCCTGTAACGTCCCCAACATGCTTTCCTTGTAAATCTTTGGAGCCATTTCGCCTATTGGTATTATTATTATGAAAAATGCAGTGACAAATGAAAGCACACCTCTTTCCCAATGGAACAGAAGGCTGCAGGCACGCCTCAGGTCCAAGGGGCAAGCTGGATACTAGCTGGCTTCTTCTTTGGGTGTCCTGCCCCAGACTTGCATGCAGCCACAGCAGCTACTCATCTGCACCAGGTTCAGAACTGGAACCTCTAGGTCCTACTTTTGAGAAAGGCCTCCCACCACCAGCCCCATGGACACCTCCAAGTCCAGCCTGCTGAATCCAGCCCCCGCCCCTGGAAGCTGCAGGCACCATCAAATCCAGCCCTTCTCAGCCACTATGGGAGCCAAGACCCAGGACAGAGAAGGTGGCCCGGTGTTTGCGCAACAGGAGACGTATCTTCTCGTCATCGGAGTCTGGGTCCAAGGGCTTGTTGTACTCGTCATCCTCATCAGAGACGGCGCGCTCTCCTGGTCCAGCTCCTGCTCGTGGGGAAGAGGAGGAAGGCTCCAGGGAACTCTTCTTCCTCCACTTGGTGCGCCGATTCTGGAACCACACCTGGGAAGGGGGGGAGGGAGGCCATCAGGGATCCTTGGATGGCAAGAACCTGGCCTAGACGTGAACTCGGGGTGGGCAACCTACAGCCCCTGAGACATCTGTGCCCCTTGGCCCAGGCTTGACCAGCAGTTAGTTCAACTGTTGGGCAAATGTGGTTGACCCTTCCCAGGTAGACTGCCATTGGGGGAGGAAACAGAAAGGGGGGGACTGTTGTCAGGGAGAGGGAGGAACAAGAGTGGGGGCTATCAGGAAGATAAATTTAGCAGACTTCCTGTTGCGGTTGCCACTGTACCTCGGAGCACAAAGATCTGGCAGAATGTTATGCCCTTGACTGACTCTTTGGCTACATGCTCCAGACAGTTAATTGATTTGATCACCTTGTTCAAAACCTTTGGAGGGCCAAAGTAATATGACAAGAAATGTTTTCCACTTCACTGGGCCACAGACTTTAAAAAAAATTTTTTAAAAAAAATGTTTTCCTTGTTCTCTCGTGGAAGAAGTTTCCATTCTCTAAGGCAGTGATTATTTGAAGCCCAAAGTCTGTTTCCCCCCCTCCCTTCAGAACCAACAATTAATTTCTGCTCATATATATGAAGATTTAATCACATAATTAACCCACTGACAAGCTTGCCAGATGAATTGACTGAACGTGCTCCAAAGGGGTGACTGTATTAATGGGTTGTTGAGCTGGGCAATAGTTTTTAATTATTAATTTAGAGGCAATCCATAGCCACATTAATTTTTGCAAAAAAAAAAGGAGAGGAAGAAAGCACAAGGTTCAAAAGGGAGTAGCCAAGACATCAAAGCTATTAACTCTTGAACTTTGAAAGAGCCATTCCCAGCTTGACTCTTTCCAAACATAACAAGACCAGCAGAGTCCACAGGGATGGGGTCATTTTATGTGTGTCACGTTAAAAAAATAAAAGGCAGGGCTCCAACTTTGTGAACGTGACTACCATCTTGACTTTTTTGACCGCATCCCTGAAGACATCTCTGGAAAGGTCTCTCATCCTCTGAATTTCCTGTCAGGAAGTTCAAGGCTAGAGAGTTTGCTGGAAACTCAACAAGATGCTCCCCTAGCAGACGTAGAGAGAGGCAGACAGGGCCTGGTTGCCCTCAACACTTCAGTTCTTCGGATCCTACTTCAGATCCAAAGTCAATCTGTCAATCTGTTACATACTCTACTAGGATAGGCAGCTCTCATTTTGATATGAAGGCTGAATATTAGAAAAAATAAGTGCCAATAGTCACTTCTCCAAATGATGCCTTTCATTTCAAGATGGATAATTTGGGTCCTGCTAACCCAGTGGTTCTCAATCTTTTTTAATGCCATGACCCCCAACCGGTCGTAAGTCGAGGACTACTCAACCGGTCGTAAGTCGAGGACTACTCAACTGGTGCAGCACCGTTTGCAGAATGGGACTTTTGGCGGGCTCAGCAGGGCAGAAACAGCCTGGACAATTCCTATTGGCTTTTGACTCTGAATAGAATAGACTCTATTCAAGAGAGTCTATTCAAGAGAGTCTATTCTATTGGCTTTCAAAAGCCAACAGAATAAAAGCACAGCTAAGGAAAAGGGGGAAAAAATGGCGGACTGCGTTGTTTGGCGACCCCCGTGAAATGGTCGTTCGACCCCAAATGGGATCCCGACCCAAAGGTTGAGAACCACTGTGCTAACCCATTAGGCTTCGACGGTGGATCATCTATGAAGCTGACCTTTACCGACCCTTGGCTGTAAACTGGACAGCACCCCATTTGTGGATGTCATCACCACTGAGGGCCTACCTGCCTCGGCTTCCAAAGTTCAGGTATGGAAAACTCACCTTCACCTGGGATTCACTCATGCCTAGGGAATATGCCAGTCGTGCCCGCTCAGGCCCAGCCAAGTATTTGGTCTGCTCAAACGTTTTCTCCAGGGCAAAGATCTGGTGTCCTGTGAAGGTTGGCCTCGTGTGTTTCTTCTTGTGGAGGCCGTCACCTAGGTGCCCGGCGGCTGTATGGAGGGAGACGGGCAGCATGGTCACTGACTGGCATCCGGTTTCCCCAGGGAAGCACCCAAAGCCAACTCATGTTTTGAACCCCAGCTTCTGGGCACGGTGATACTCTAGAATTTCGTCTTTCCCAATGCTGGACATTGATGGAAGCTGAGCTGAATTTTTTTTTTTTTTTGACATCACTTCCACTTACTTTTATTGGTTTTTGATCCCAAATTCTTTGTATCCCATTTCTTTTTTTTATTATAACATTTTATTGTATTACAAAATAAAATACAAAATACAAAAAAAAAAAAACAAACAGATAGTAGGACCCAGTGGGAAGGAAAAGGGAAAAAGAAATGAGGGGGAGGAGGGGAGAAAGAAAGAACATTCACTTCCAGTTTCCTCTGTTGCAGTAAACATCGAACCTCCACGTTTTACTTTTCCAGAGTAGTATAAACTAGCTTTTTCTATAACAGCAAATCAATCTAAGTAAATTCCCAAATCAAAGTTTCATTTTTGTCCACCTCAAGCACAAAATCCGGAAGCGGTCTCCATGTGGAAAGAAAAGGAAACTGAGTTTAACTGATGTTGAGCAGTCCAGACTTCATCATCTTCCCACAAGCCCACCTTTAGATGGGAAGGGGCTAACCAAGACCTGCTCACAGTCGTTGAGACCCCCCCCCCCATGTCTGCCCTAAAGTCCTCTTTTGGCAGGGCCTTGCAAACAACCAACTTAACCCCTGCCTGCCCACAGTCATGTGAAATAAGTTCAAACCCAAATGCATTTTCCCATCTCCGCGTGTGTGTTTTAAAATAGCCAAGTGTGTGTGTGTATGTGTGTGTGTGTAAATCTGGAATAAGGGTGTTTGGAGAACAGAAGCGATTCTGAAGTACAGTGGTCCAAATTACCACCTGGCCCAAACCTTCTTTTCATTTGTTGCCTTGGTATTGTTTGGGAGAAAATATTTTAACCCATTCTATCAACTCTCATATTACAGATTGCCGCAAGTGAGTTTTCCAGAAGTCAATAGACCCTTCATTAAAAAAAAAAAAAAACAGAGCCTTTTTTTGAATCATCTTTTCTCATAGCATCTAGTTTTCTCAATGAGGGGACATTTTTACATTGGGACCAATTTCAGCCTTTCCCTTCACATATGAGTTAAGCTGCAAGACCTCGGCACTTATGCCCTGGGGTCTGTAGTGCCACCTCTGGGATACCCAGCTGAAATGCTAAAAAGCTCACAAAGACAGGAGCCTGGATCTCTCGCCAAGGAAGAAAAGAAGGCTGTGTGACACTACAGTCTGCAGATTTGAAGGCAACTCCATCCATTTGCCTCTTTGAATCGACTTTCCGAATCAACTGAATCCAGTGCCTCTCAATCAATTCACTCTATCAACACATGTTTAGTCATGCATGTGCGGATTGACTGAAATTGTGGCATTGCTTTAACTAGTTGGCTTCCAAATTTGAATCGGTGGAAATAGTCAAAGCAAACAGCCAATTCTGATTCCCTCTCTACTTATGTGCAACCCCTGCATTAGGCACCAATTTCCCCTGACTTTTAATATATGTGAATGAAGCCAGGAGCCTCTCAGAGCCTTCCCGCCACTCATGTGACTTCTGATTCATCTGCCCTTTACACGGGACAGCAGAAACAATTAGTTGTTGATTTTGTTTTGCATTCCTGATTACAGGCCTGCCCATTATATCTGTTTGTGTATGTGTGGTATGTGTGTATGTCAACCTATTTTCCAAAGTACCAGAAGGCAAGACAAGAAACAATGGATAGGAATTAATCAGGGAGAGAAGCGACCCGGAACTAAGGAGAAATTTCCTGACATTTAAAACAATCCACAGAACGGCTTGCCTTCGGAAGTTGCGAGTGCTTTTAAGAAGAAATTGGACACCATTTGTCTAGAATGGTAGAGGGTCTATTGCTCGAGCAGGGGGTTGGACTGGATGACCTCCAAGGATCCTTCCAACTCCGTTATTCTATGCTTCTACCACAAATGGATGGCAGGGGCAAATTTTGAATAGTCTTCCCCCATTTATTAAGGTTCGTATGTGTGTGTGTGTGTGTGTGTGTGTGTGTGTGTGTGTTTGTGTGTGTGTGTGCATGTGTATGTGTGAATGAGTGAGACTTTTCCCCACTAAGGCTGTGTCCCTGTCCCTTTCCATCAGTCCAGCACATGGCATTTTAATAGTTGAAGTTTCTCTTAGCGTGCATTTTTGCAGAGATCAGGCTGCACGGAAGAGGGTAACTTTGGAGCCTGCTCTGTGGTGGGGTGTGGGGGTGGGTGTTTCTGAACCCTGTGCTGTCTCTCTGCCAGATGAATTCCATTACGGAATACCTTCCTGGTCCTTCTCCATCAAGTTCTTCTTGCAGTCTATTATGATTTGAATGGCCAGGAGATTCTACTCAAGAATACAATGATGTTTGGGGGTTCAGGGTCCCCACCATCTCTTCAGGCAATGGGAGAGAGAGAGAGAGAGAGAGAGAGAGAGAGAGAGAGAGAGAGAGAGAGAGAGAGAGAGAGAGAGAGAGAGAGAGAGAGAGAATCCTTGTCCCCACAATAAAAAACTCGGGGTCAATTTTTGCCCCTGTCCTTGCTTCTACTGAGTTGCTCCTTGCCTCTTTCCTAGCCTTAATTGAGCTTCATATCAGTTACCCTGGACTCCTTGGCACCATCCGTCGTTCCAAGGGGCACCTGGGTGGCCGCTAAGATTCAGAGGATTTTTGCCTTTGCCTAGGAAAACGAGCAGATCAGGAAGATTCAAGAAACCCTTTCATTCCCCCAATTAATCTGGTGGGCTACTTAAAAGGCCACTATAAAAAACAAATTCTGGGACCAGTTTTCAGGTCCGATTAAGTTTTGCTACCTATTCTTCACCATTTGAGACCAATGGCATCCCGTACGGAGTGCCTCTCGCCAGCCGGATCAACCACAACCATGTCCCCATGCCATGCAGCCTTCCCCCATGCCTAGTTGGTTACTTACAATTGTCACATACTCGGCCTTCATGCCAATCCGGGACTGGGTCAGCCCAACAGCTCCTGCCCCTGGCTCCATAGTCACTTCCTGTCTTGGCAAAACTGCCCATTGGGGGACCGTAGTAAATGCCCTGGGCACCCAGTCCATTGAATCCCCCAACATGGGAGTAGCCGGACAGGAGGCCGTTGTTTGGAGGAACCACCGGTCTGCTGAGGATGTCACTGATGCCATGTGGCGTGCCGGATGCCAACTGGGCACTGAGCCCAGGAGGACTGAGCTTGTAAAAGGAGTTTTGCACTGAATATTGGCACATGGGGGCTTTCACTTCCGGGAACGGGGACAGAGAAGGGCTGTTGAGGAGAAAGGTCCCCTGCAGGTTGGAGTCCATAGCTCGACTGCTTGCTGGCCAAGGCACCTACCGCGGAGTGCAGCTTCTACTCTTCCCAAGGCATTTGGCTCAGTGGCAATGCCATCCTGAGGCCCTAGGAATGTCCACCTGCCACTCTCGATGGGGAGGCCTTTTGCTGGGACCACGTCTGCTGGGACCCTGGAGCTGCACTGGTGGCCGAGGCAACCGTGGCCCAAGTCCATGAGGTTCCTGCCAGTTCCGAAACCAAGACTGACTGACTTGGCCACCACACTTAACTTCAAGGGAAGCTCCCTTTCCTGGGATAAAAGACTGGGCTGATTAGAATACCTGCTCTCCAATAGGTTGAGGTCTTGGGTCTCCCATTTCTCATTGGGCTGTTTGAGCGCAGGACCTGGATTGGCTGCTCTGAGATAAATTGCCCTTTGAGAGCGCCACGGTCAACACCAGAACCTTAGCACACATGGCTAATGCTGGCAGGAGGGAGGAGGCAAGGATAGAAGAGGCTGCCTTTGCTTTGGGGGGGGGGGTGATGGATGGAGTGAGAGAGGGTCTGTGTGAGAGAGACAGACGAGAGAGAGCTCTCAACCAAAGGAAATCTAGACAGAGACCCCAACTTTACAGTTGAGTAGCAAACAACCTCTGAACACGGTGCCTGTAAGAGAAGGTCTTGGGATAGAAATACAAAAAAAAATTTTTTTACAGTACAGCCGGCTGAGGTTGCAGAAGTGTGAGGAACAGATAAGTTGGATCCCGGAACAAAGTGAGGAAAGAGAACAAATAGGGTAAGAGCAGTGGTGGGATTCAACCAGTTTGCACCACTTCGGCAGAACCGGTAGCTAATTTTTTGTTGCCCGGGTTCAGAATGGACTTCCGGAAGCGGCATCCACACAGAGAACCAGTTGTTCACGTATTTGAATCTCACCATTGGGTAAGAGTCGTCGCTTTGCTGCCTGCATCCAGTGAATTATCCCAGAGGTCAGCTAGTTGGCGTTGGTGTCTCAGGTAAGCCTTAATTTTATTCTTGGGAAGCAGAGGGTGAGGGCTGGAAGGAGGAATAATAGGTGGATTGGGATAAAATGGGGATTATCTTAGCTCGGCCATAACAAAGGGGAGTCAGTCACGCTTTATGTTAGCCAGAGGGACTGCATTGAGGACATTTAAACTAAGCTACCTTGATCTCTTTTCCCCTTGCTCCTCGTCACCTGGAACATAGAATAACAGAGTTGGAAGGGACCTTGGAGGTCATCTAGTCCAACTCCCTGCACAAGCAAGAGAGTCTATAGTACCATTTCAGACAAATGGCTGTCCAATCTCTTCTTGAAATCCTCCAGGGATGGGGTACCCACAACTCCTGAAGGCAACCTGTTCCACTGGTTAATTGTTCTTACTATTAGGAAGTTTCTCTTTAATTCCAGATTGCTTCTCTCCTTGATTAGTTTTCATCCATTGGCTCTTGTCTTGGCTTCTGATGCTTCTGATTTGCCCCCCTCCTCTTTGTGGCAGCCCCTCAAATACTGGAACACTGCTATCATGTCACCCCTAGTCCTTCTTTTCACTAGACTAGACACACCCAATTCCTGCAATCATTCTTCAAAAGTCAGTCTTTAGCCCCCCTAATCATCTTTGTTGCTCTTTTCTGCACCCTTTCCAGAGTCTCAACATCTTTTTTTATAATATCGTGACCCAAACTGGATGTAATATTCCACGTGTAGCCATAGTTAAGGCTTTGTAAAGTGGTACTAATACTTCTTGATTCCATTCCTCTATTAATGCAATCCAGGATTACATTTGCTTTCTTGGCTGCTGCTGCTGCACACTGTTGGTTCATCTTTAAGTGATTGTCCACTTGGACTCCAAGATCTCTCTCACAGTTACTGGCATTGAGCCAGGTTTGACTTACTCCGTACCTGTACAGTTGGTTTTTTCTTGCCTAAGTGTAAAACCTTACTTTTATCTATCACAGTCTGGATCTGGTTTAAGTCGCAGCTACAATTTTTAAGGGGAAAAAACATGCTGGTTGGCGCTAAACATCTGATGAAAGTTATGTTTAGTTTGATGAGAAGTGCTCATTCTTGACCACAAGTATAGCCACTAGACACGATAAACCCTTCCTTCAAAAATAAAAAGCAAGAAAACGGCTCCTGAGACCATCAAATCCAGGCCCAGTGCAAGACTCAAATCAAAACTTCTCCAAAGGCTGGCTGTCCAATCTTTGCTTGGCCCTCCAGAGAAAAAAATGTTCAGTAGTTCCTTAGGTCAGGGGTTCCATTCTCAAAACTCCTCTCACCTTTTCGGAACTCTACTCTGACTTCCAGTAGCATCAGCCTTCCTGTAATTTTAAGACCATTATAGTGGCAACAAGAATCAGGACCATACAAAGAGTGGTATTTCAGAAGATTTATTGCTCAGTGCCAAACACCCAGACTTTTTTATAAAAGAGGGACACTATCAGGGCTTTATTCCCTCTTAGAAAAAGTACCATCCTTTGCCAACCCTAGCAAAGCTTTTGACCCTAGCCTTACTTCTCCTTGCTTCCCCCCCCCCAGTCAATGTGACCACCCAACAGCCCCCAAGCTTGATTGAGAAACCCACCAGGTACCCAGGCGAGTCAAAGAAGCCGCAGAGACAATATTGAGTGGTGTTGATTTATTTATTAACTTGGATTCTGGTAGCTGGTGGAGAGGGAGGATGTTCTATACACTGGATTGTGGGGGGGGGGGGGAAGGGAAATGGAGGGAAAACAAGAGGAGCCAAAAGGCTCAAATTTCCGTAACAATAAAAAAGAAAGTAAAAGTAATTTCAAAACTTCTAAAAAGCATCTAGAGTGCAGACATTGGCAGCATTCTCTAGGCGTCACCCTCCTTTACAGCTCCTACTAGCGATCAGCGGGCAAAAGCAGCGCCCTCGCAGGCAGGCGAGGAGGACGCAGTTCACAGCTCAATTTTGTATTTTCTATGCACTACTGGAGGCCAAAAGCATGGGGGGGGAGGCCCACGCCAGAGTCTAGGGCGATGCCGTGTCAGCAATTTGGTGGGGGTGGGGAGGCCATACAGGCTTGCAAATCCAGGAGTGATGGGGGGGAGAGGAAATTTGATGCTGTAATTCCTTGCATATCTGGATAGGAACAATTAGACTCTCTGGGGAGACGCCTGGCATGGCTTTCAGTTTTTCCTCCAACTTTCACTGCCCTCCTCTCCCCCCCCCCCGGCCCTTCCTCCTCCTGGCTTGCTCTACCTGGAGAAGGGCAGAATGGCAGGGACCCAGGCACGGGGGCTGAGAAAGTGGCGCTGCAGCCAGGGAAGAATGCCTGGGGTGACCACAGGGGATGGTCAAGGAATCAAAGATGTGGCTATGACAATGCCCGATCGGTGCTTCCTCTTGGCCATCACCTTGACTGCTAGGCCTTCCCCTGTGGGCTCCCCCTGCCCCTCGCCTCCCTTGGGGGTCTCCAAAGGTTGGGGAGACCCCTTCCTTGGGGGTCTCCAAAGTCAAAGGAGCCACCACCTATTGCTCATGGCAGTTGTCCCAAGAGCGTAGCTTGTTGGTGGGGAAGTGGGTGCAGAAGGGGTTCCTCCAAGCATTAGGGGCAGCCAATCGTGATGGTGGGGGATGGAAGAAAAAGGAGAAAGAGGCGGAGGAAGAGGAGCACCACTCCCTCCATGCCAGGTCTGATCAAGGAAGTTGCTGGCGTGGGGGGGAGAGGGCAGGGGGAAGTAATTCCGTTCCCCCCAGCTAGGACTGGTCCAAGAAGTATTGGCAGATGCCACGTCTGTGCTGAGTGAGGAGGCCCCTGGGGTCCTCCTGTATGGAAGTGCAGGCAAGGGAACAACGCTGCCCTTCTCCTGAGCAACAGATTGTGCTGGGTGGAGCCAAGCCTCGGTGCACACGGGTGGCTGCACACTTCCAGCCCGGGGCCAAATTGCGGGAAGGTGCCACGACGCACACCCTTGGTGGCATGTCTTGGCAGAGGCTCGTGTACTAGCCCTTCTTCTTCTTCTTCTTCTTCTCCTTTTCTCCTTCCTTTCCCACACGTCTCTAACCACCACGCTGCTGCGTGTGTGAGTGTGAGTGGGTGTGTGGGTACGCTGGTGTGCGTAGGTGTATGGGTTCCAAGGAGACCGGGAGGAGCCGGGGAGACCCTCTGATCAGAAGACGTCCTGCTTCTCCCCTCCTCTTGTTTCCTGCCCAAAGGACTGGTTGCCTCTGGATGCTTCCAAGGACCAGAGCCGATCCGGGTCTGCCGAACGCCTCGGTCGGTGTTTGCATAGTAAGTATCTGTCCATATTCTATACATGAGATCTCAGCAATTGCCCAAGTCACGCTTTCCATCCGAACCTGGGAAGAACAACTGGGCAGAGTCGCCAGAAGGTCTCGGCAAGAATCCCTCTGGGGTTCCAGACGGATGGAGGAAGGCTGAGCAGAGAGGCAACCAGAAGGCTGAGCCGGGGAGGATGGGATGGGGAGTGATCTCCATCCAGCTTACTCCTTCTTCTCCAGGAGGCCAAGGCACCACGTCAAAGAAGGGGCTTTGGGAAGAAGGCCCCCGCCACACGCACACAAACACACAAAGACAATTGCATCTCTTTTTTTCCCCTCTTCTCCTGGGGAATTGTCCCGGCCCCTCTCCTCTTGAAGTCAGGAGAAAGAACTGTAGCTCATGCGTCAGCAGTCGGTCGGTCATGCGGATTAAGACGGTAAAGTTATGTCTCTTACGGAAATCATGCCATTAACCTAAAGAGTCGCAGACAGCCCAGCCTCTGGAAGCTCGTTGCTCCACTCGCCTGGCCACGTGGAGAGGAACGAGGAGCGTGAAGGTTTAGTGGATGGGTGTTGAGGTGAGGCCCTGCAGGAGGGAGGGAGGGAGAAAGAGGAGAGGTTGGTACCGACATTCACACAAGACGCACCATGCGCCTCTGCTAAGGAGTCTGATCTACTGATCTTCTTCTAATGAAAAGAAGGACTGAGGGTGACATGACAGCAGCGTTCCAATATTTGAGAACCAATCTAAGGAACGATTTCCTAACAATGAGAACAATTCATCAGTGGAATGAATGGCTTGCCTTCAGAAGTTGTGGGTGCTCCTTCACTGGAGAATTTCAAAAATTCACCAGACAATCATTTGAGTGGGATAGTATAAGGTCTCCTGCCTGTTGTTCTGCTCTGTTAGCTATCTATCTCAGTCATTCCCAGAAAACTAGTGTCTTTGGAGGGAAGGCACAGAAAACATATAAGGAAAGGTTGATGGAATTGGGTATGTCTAGTTTAATGAAGAGAAGGACGAGGGAGGACATGATAGCAGCGTTCCAATATCTCAGGGGCTGCCCCAGAGAAGAGGGAGTCAAGCTCTTTTCCAAAGCGCCTGAAGGCAGGACAAGAATCAACGGATGGAAACTAATCAAGGA